TGTTCATTAATCCTCATACCCATCATCCACTAAAGAAGACTAAAGGAAGATTATATAAAACAGAGGTTTTCAAACTCACTCCGTTTCCACGGCAACGCAACACTCTCACACACACACACACACACACACACACACACACACCTGGGGAGTCTGGAGGGCTTATAACCTTCCGGGACTGTGTTCAAATTCCTGACAGAGGGTCTGGCAGCATCCTGCCCCATCAGCAGCTTTTTTTTTTAAATGATTTTTTATAGATTTTGTCTTGAATTTAAGCATCAACAAACATTCTAGACGCTTGACTCAAAATCTCATTGTTTGCTGGGACATTATACTTGTAAATGAACCATGTGTCTCACTGCAACGGTGCACCTAGAAAAAAACACAAGAAAAATGGGCTGGGGAACAAAATGAAATGAAAATGCTGAGGGTGAGAGAACAAAGTACGGGCACATGCTATGTTGCATTTCTTTGATATTTTATGAATGCATATCAAGTGCTCAGAATAAATATATGATCAATATCTAATAGTATTTTTTTTTCATATTCTACACTTCTTAATTTTCTTGCCTTTGGAATTGTATTTGCTACTGTATTTTCAAGATATCTATAAGCAAATGACTTTTATGTCTTGCTGTGTGTGTAGTATGGGAAGTATGTTAATGTGCTGATATAGTGTTGATAAATGGTAATTTTAAAAGTAACATGTTATGTTATTGTGTTACCACTAATAAAACTTAAGTTGCATCATTGCGTTTTATGGAAAGTACCACATTACTGTAGGTACTTGTGCATTTGAAAGTGTGTGAGTCTCTTACCAACCTCTTACTTTTCAGTGCAGAACAAATGTAATAACACAGGAATAACGGTCACAGGGGGAAAAAAAAGTATTGCATTCTCAAATGTAACATTGTTGACAAAATGTTGCATTTTCTGTTTATTCTTTTACCCAGCCTACAAAAAAAAACAAGACTGTTGATTTTCATTCATAAGTTATAAAATACATAAATAAATAAAAATACTGTATACATTACTTGAATGTTACACCTTAACTCAAGTACTGGTAATTCTGTCATCATAACTGTGACACACACTGAATAAGCTGTTTTTATAGTTTAGTGGACTAGGTGGACTGGGGAAGGAGTTCTGAAATTTTGATGTCTGCATAGTACATCAGTTTTTTTTATTTCAGAAATGCAAGAGCAATTCTATCCCATCTTATGTCCCCTTAAAAACAGCTATTTTGCAGAGTGCAAGCTGCAATTGACAAAGACTGAGACTGTGTCACTGCACAGAGGGACACTGTAAACAGATCATCACAGCTGCGCTGCAGCTTTCCCTCTGTATCTATCTATGACTTACAGCATACAGCTCAAGAAAGCTGTCAGAAACTATGCATCTGGGGAAAACTGGTTTCAGAGCCAGGAATAAAATGCTGAACAAGAATTTAATGCAGCTGTGCACTGAAAAATCATACTGTATGTACTCTTTGGTGAGGTATTAATGTAAACACAGTCGGTTAGGTCTAGTGAAAAAGGTGAGGAAAAAATCAGGTATGTGAAAATATTAGATCTTAATGTGTAGATGCAGCCTATTATACTATATTACTTTGTTAAAGTGAGTTCACCCAAAAACTGAACACAAAAGAAGATATTTTGAAAAATGTTGGTAACAGTTGCTGGTAGCCATTGATTTCCATAGTATTTGTTTTCAGTACTATGGAAGTCAATGGCTACCAGCAACTTCAAACATTCTTCAAAGTATCTTTCTTTGTCTTCAACAGAAGAAAGAAACTCATACAGTTTGGAACAACTTGAGGGTGAGTAAATGATGACAAAATTTTCATTTTTGGGTGAACGATACCTTTAAAGTTAATTAAGCTACAATATTGACAGAAAAGAGAGAAAGCCCAATTCCTTAAGAATTTCTTTCTTGCTTTCTGTTTTCTAACATCAATAATATGATTTTATTTTAATAATAAAATAAGTAAAATAAAATTAAAATATTTCAAATAAAAGAAAACTTTTAGTTAGAAGCTGTGTTTATTTAATTGATTTTTTGTTTTTGGAAAAATTTCTTATGCCCACTAAGGCTGCATTTATTTGATCAAAAATACTGTAAAACAGTAATATTGTGAAATATTATTGTATAATAATATTATTCATTTAAACAAACGGTTTTATATTTTAATATCTTTTAAAATATATTTTATTCCTTTGATGGCAAAGCTGAATTTTCAGCAGCCATTACTCCCAGTCTTCATCATGAAATATAAAAATTATGTAATAATAAAAATAAAAATATCCGCTTCGTCATGCCTAGAGCTGATCCGTGCTGGTCGCTGAGGGAATACATCAACTTTCAGCATGGCCGAAGCGGAGTCCAGCCCGCCTCAGCTCACTCTATCCCGGCCTCAGCGCACGCTAAGCCGGGGCTTCCCCTCACGCTAGGCCGCTGTGTTTTTCGTTGCCACTGATGATTCAAACGCGAGTTTTGGGCAGTGTAGAGTAGCACTTGTTGTTTGTCATTTCTCCGATCACAAATGCAGACAGAGTTTTATGTTTACGCGGTGCGATGCAACGCAACGCGTAAAAAGACAGTATAAGTCATTATAATCAGTAATTATGTCCCCACTGGATGCAACAAATGCCTCGTTTGTAATGGGTTTTAATGTTTATGTCTCGTCGCTCCGGCCGGACACGGCATCAACAGTATGTGAGGGGCGTAACATTTCCGTCACACGCTTGAGGTATTCGGCCAATCACAACGCACTGGATAGCTGGCCAATCACAGCACACCTCGCTTTTTCAGACCGATGAGCTTTGTAAAAATTGACGCATTTCAAAAAGGCGGGGCATAGAGGAGAAACAATAATGTACAGTATGTGGAAAATAATGTGTTTTTTTTTACTTTAAACCGCATAAACACATTTCATTACACCAAATACACACAATAATGTTCTTTTTAGCAGCATCATATGACCCCTTTAATATAAAATAAGCATTCAACAAATCACTGAAGATATACAATTAATGACGATGATATACAAATAGCAGCTGTGGTTTCACTCTCTCTGTCTCTCTCTCTCAGGTACGTACCTGACTCATGAAGCGAAAGGTTCCGACGATGCTCCGGATGCAGACACGGCCATCATTAATGCTGAGGGTGGCCACTCTGGGGTGGATGACAAGAAAGAGTACTTCATTTAGAGATCCATCCCTCCGCTCCCTCTTCCTTCACACGCTTCAGTTCACTCAGCCTGACGGGGAAAAACGGGGATGGCAGAGAGAGAGGAAATATGTGAGGAAAAAAAACAAAAACAAGTGTTGACCTGTTCGAACTGAAGGACCTCAAATAAGCTTCGACACACAGGACAGGGAAGTGAGAGTTACGCACTGGCACGTGGGCTCATTTTCAAACACACACACACACACACACACACACA